CCTACTGTGTGCCAGGAAGTGAGCTAACCTCTGGGGACAGGAAGAAAGGCAAAGGCAGTCCCTGTTCTCAGAGCCCTGCCAGGCTACTGAGGAAGACAACTGGCAACCTGCTAAGTACAAACAAGATGTGGGCAGGATAAACCTCCTGATGAAGGGAGTTTGTAGAAGTTATCTGGGAAAGGATGTGCTTCTCTTTGGAGGAAGCGCTACCTTGGCTCAGGACAAGAAGAGGGGCTGGCTGGAAGGATGAACAGACAGAGAGTGGGAGAGAGAGAAGACACAGAGGGAGGGAAAAAGAAAGAAAGAAAGAAGAAAGAAAGAAAGAAAGAAAGAAAGAAAGAAAGAAAGAAAGAAGAAAGAAAGAAAGAAAGAAAGAAAGAAAAAAGAGGAGAAAAGGAAAGAAAAGAAAGAAGAAAGAAAGAAGAAAGAAAGAAGGAAGGAGGGAAGAAAGAAGAGAGATGGAGAGGAAGCTACACTGACCACTGTGCCATTCTAATGACCGAACTTGGCCCCAGAGAATCCTGAAGGGGTAGAGCCCAAGTGCAGCATGAAGAAGGAGAGCCCAGATTCTGGAATGGAACTCCACAAACATCCAGAAAATACAGCAGACCAAATCCTGATTAGGAAATCCAAGAACTCCAGTGAGTCATTTTTTCCAGTCCAGGTCAGTGTAGGGACACAGAGGGAGATCTGTCAGTGCTGGGGCTGGAGGGCACATTCCAGTGCATTTAGGGTTAAGGAAGCTGTGCCCAAGAACAAGAAGAGGTTCTAGGCCCTTATGGGGGTGTCCTGAGCCCAAGCAGGGCCAACAGGCACTTTATCGCTGGCTAGCTCCCTCCCTTCCTCACCAGGTTCAGGTCATAGAGGCAGGAGGAGCTGATGGGGGAGGGAGCTGATGGGGAAGGGAGCAGTCAAGGGCCCTGGGCTTTGTTCCAAGTGAGTAATTAAGTTCAGAAGCAGCAGCATCTGGGTGTGGCTCAGACCCCTGGTGCAGGGCAGGGTCTCAGGTCCAGCCCCAGCCTCCACCCTTGTTTCTGCAGAGGAAAACCAGGGCAGGAATCCTGGAACCAAGGGGAGTCCGCATTTCTTTCACTCAGAACCAACAGAGCTTCAAAGTGGGCTGAGAGAGGGGTGAGTCCAGCAACATCTGCTGCCTCCAGCCAAGGACAAGGAGCAGGACTGTTGGCCAGACCCAAACCCAGGTCAGGAACTGGAGGAGTTCAGACCAAGACCACCAGGATCAGACCTTGCCCCAGATCAGACACTTGGGGCACACTGAGGCCTTACAGGTTCCCAGGCTGAGCTGTGATCCAGAACAGTCAGTTAATTAGCAAGCATTTATTAAGCACCTACTTCATACCAGGCACTGCTTAAGCACTGGGAATACAAAGGGAAAACAAAAGAGCATCCCCCCTTCAAGGAGCTGACAATCTTATGGGGGAGACAGCAAGCAAACAGATATATACAAACAAGCTACAGGAAGATAAAGAGGAAATGATTAACAGCTAGGAGGCACAGTGACCCACAGGAGTGTCTACTCCCAAAGCACAGGGAAGACCTTTCTGGGTGGAATGAGTGGATGACAACAATTTGCAATTTCTTCCAGTGGCTGTGAAGGTGCCTGATGCAGGTGCTTGAGACACAAGTCATCCACCATCCCGGACCATCACCAGTCATCTTGATTTTTGTCCTGCCACTGGACCTGGACGACTCTGGGAGAGAGAGTGAGGCACTCCAAAGTCCAGACATCACTCCAGTCCTCTTCAGGAATAAAGGACAAACAACAGGAGGAGAAGTGGAGAGAGAGACAGGACTAGAGTCAGAAAGACTCCTCTACCTGAGTTCCAATCTGGCCTCAGACACTTCCTAGCTGGGAGACCCTGGGCAAGTTGCTTCACCCTGCTTGCCTCAGTTTCCTCATCTGGAAAGTGAGCTGGACAAGGAAATAGCAAACCACTCCAGTATCTTTGCCAAGAAAACACCAGGTGGGGTCCTGAAGAGTCAGACAGACTGGAGGGCCTAGAAGAAGAGGGCTTGGAGAGGGCTTCCTGGGGAAGGTGGGACTTTAGCTGGGACTTGAAGAAAGCTGGGTAGGTCAGTGATCAGGGCAGAGAAGGGGGTCATATTAGAGAGACCCTCACAGTCAAATCGACAAGTCTTGGCACCATACTGGATATGGGAGAGGGTGAGAGATAGTGAAGAGTACAGGATGACTCCTACGTTGTGAGCCCAGAAGATTGAGAGGATGGTGATGCCCTCAGCAGGAACAAGGAGGTTGAAATGAAGGGCTGTGGGGGAAATAATGAGTTCAGTTTGGACATGTTGAGTTAAAGCTGTCTATGAGACATCCAATCTCAATTGGAGATGTGGGACTGGAGGTCGATAGAGAGGTTAGAGCAGAAAAGTACATTTTAAGATTTTCGAGTATGATAATTAAATCATTGAGAGCTGATGGATTCATCAAATGACTTGGTGTGGAAGGAAAGGGAAGGGGAGGGAAGGGAAGGGGAGGGGAGGGAGGAAGGGGAGGGAAAGGGGAGGGGAGGGGGGGGAGGGAGAGGGGAGGGGAGGGGAGGGAAGGGGAGGGAAGGGAGGGAAGGGAAGGGGAGGGAGGGGAGGGAAGGGAGGGAGGGGAGGGGAGGGGAAAGGGAGGGAGGGAGAAGAGAAGAGAAAGAAGGAAGAGAAGAGAAGAGAAGAGAAGAGAAGAGAAGAGAAGAGAAGAGGGAAGAGAAGGAAGAGAAGAGAGAAGAGAAGAGGGGAAGGGAAGAGGAGAGAGAGGAGAAGAGAGGAAAGAGAAGAAGAGGACAGAAAGTATCCTGTGGGACACCTATGGTTAGAGTTCGATCAAGATGAGGATTCAGCAGAAAAGACTGAGGAATGAACAGTCAGAGAGGGAGGAGGAAAACCAATAGGGAGGCTACAGAGAGGCCAAGGAGAAGGATGCCTCAGAACCAGCCACTGGATTTGGCAACTGTGGAGAGAACAGTTTTAATGGGATCGTGAGGATCTGAAGCTGGATTGGGAAGAGAGACACAGAGAGAGAGAGAGAGACAGAGGCACAGAAGAGAGACAGACAGAAAGAAAGGAAAGAGAAAAAGAGGGAGGGAGAGGGAGAGAGAGAGGGAGGGAGGGAGGGAAAGAGACAGAGACAAAGAGACAGAGGTAGAGAGGGAGGGAGGGAGGGGGAGAGAGAGAGAGAGAGAGAGAGAGAGAGAGAGAGAGAGGAGAGAGAGGCCCAAAAGGACAAAAACTCACCTCAGATCCTCTCCCAGGAATACACAGAGCCCAGACCTAACAAAAAGTCTAAACAAGAGGGTCGAAAGAACAAACAAACAAAAAAAGACTTACTTTATAGAATTTTGTTGTGGGTTTTATTTTTTTTTTATAAAAGAGCTACTAGGGTGACAAAGGAAACAAAACTGGAGGAAGAGAAGGATTCCAGAATGTATGTGGGGATGAAAATTGTCCAACCTACAATAAAAGAGACTGAGGCAGAGCTCTGAGCCAATGATACTTTATTAAAGAGTCCATGGTCCCCTCTAATGAAGTGGACCTCAGATCTTCCTCATGATCTGAGATGCCCCCTTCTTTCAGGACCTTATTTTTATAGAAGCTGATACTCAAATATGCAAAAGAGGCACAGTAAAATACAGAATCGCATTGGTTGATAGACCTTGCTCTCAAAGGCCAAAAAAGACGAATAAGCAGGGGTGTCACAGGTTGGGTGAAGCATGGAGCATCTCCACTGACTACGTGGTCATAAGATGGTCACTCGCTCATGTTGAACAAGAGATAATCATCCAGAGGTACAAAAATAAGTTGGGGGACTTTCCAAAGCATCAAGGCATCCCCCTATGCTGAGTTGGGACATGGAATTTGAGCAAAACAGGATGGAGATATCTTTGTCAGCATTGCTGTGGTTGCTCAAGTGAGCCTCATAACTTGGTACAGAAGTAGTGGACATTATATTCAAGTTTGAGGCCCACTATAAGAACCTATCTAACCCTATAGGATTTATGTAATAATATCAAACTGATTGGAATAGAGCAGGGGTCCAAATTAGTTGTTTTTCATGCCCCCATTCAACTCTGAAGAGGATAGGCAGCCTTGAAAGCCATCCCAGGAGGCCATAGGCTTTGGGAAACTGTTGTCTCTGCCAGCCAGATAGGGGTCCCCAGTCAGATCCAGATTGTTGGCACCACTGATAAGCTGAGTGACCATCTTAGTGTTCACCAAGATGGGGCATTACTGCTGTACCAGGTAAGGACAGCATTACACCATTGGTTGTCTGTCTCTATTGCCCTTGATGACATTGGAACCATTTCCATGACAAGATAGAATCACATAAGATAAAATGGATACTTTCAATCACATAAAATTAAAAAGATTTTTTTCCCAAGAAATCTAATGTAGTTAAAATTAGGATGGGGGCAGCTAGGTGGCCCAGTGGATAGAGCACCAGTCTTGGAGTCAGGAGGATCTGAGTGCAAATTCGACCTCAGACACATAACACTTAACTAGCTGTGGGACTGTGCAAGTCACTTAATCCCAATTGCCTCACATACAAAAAAAAATTCTTTTAATAAAAAAATTAGGACGGAAATGGATAGCTGTGGTATAAATCTTTGCAGCAAGAGTCTCTGATAAAGATCTCATTTGCGATATAAAAGAGGAAATGACTCAACTTTGTAAAAACTAAGAGGCATTCCTCAATAAATAAACGCTCAAGGGATATAAATGAGTAGTTTTCAAAGGATGGCATTCAAACTGTCACCGCGAGGATGCCCATGGCCAGCAGGACGATGAGCAGAATGATCACCAGAAGGGAGAAGATCAGAGCGAAGATGTTGAGACACTTGGCTGTGGACCCATAGCTCCGGGCCCCATCTAGGTCACCCACCACCTTCCGGTCCCGGGCCTGGTGAGGAGAGAGAGGACAGAGCTAGGGTTAGGTGCGGGTGCGGGGGTGGGGACGGGGGGGGGGTGGGGGGCGCGGGGAAAACTCACAAGTCACACAAACACATTCTGGTGACTCACAACCCGGCACGCGCCCAGTGGTACGCGAGCACACACATAGGCTCCAGCGCCCCTACCCACCTTTACTGAAAAGACCAGCGCGAAAAAACCCAGGCAGCAAAAGTTCATGTACAACGTGTTGAACACGGACCAGACCAAGAAATCCTTCGGGTGAGGCTCATAGGAGTGGACGTTAATGATAGTGGAGGCTGGATCCTGCCCCGGCATCCGCGGATCTCGCTCCTCAGAGAGTAGCTCATAGTTGGGCGGAGAAAAAGCGCGGTTGATTTGGCCCAGGGGGACAGTCTGGTTGGTGTTCATGGGCGCAGGAAGCCTGTAGTACTGCGAGTCTGGAGCGCAGCTGCTGCGGATACTGAGCCCGAAGCTGAAGAAGCTGTAGAGGCAGTTGGGAAGAGAGAATTTGGTAGGAGGAGCCCCAAATCGGCTGGCCCACCTCTCCTCCCCTCACTCCTCTCCGCTGAATCTGCGCCAACTTTCTATTTCCTGAGATTGCAAAGCTTCTAGAAAAATAGAAACCTTCGAAGCTGCAACCTGCGGGTGTCTGCTGAAGCTCTCCGCTGAGATCTGAACTGGAGTCTTGGACCATCCTCCGTACCCATCTGACTTGGGAGGAGAGGGGCGTGGAGTGATTCCCCTCAGCCTAAACCTGGGCTGCGAAGGGGGCTTGGACAAGTGCCCACGAGCCTATTGGTAGTTTCTCAGCCTCCCATCGGACAGGTCTACTAGACTGAGCTTCTTCTATCCACTCTAATGCCACCCCACACTTCCTCAGCCACACACAAAGATGGTCATGCCCTTGATCTTGCCCTAACCCTAACCCGCAGGCGTTTCACTTCCTTGTTCCCCAACTACAAAATTCTTTAATCTAGTCATCTTTTATCATTCTATCTGCCTTAGGGCACCATCTTCACCCTGACCTCTAGTCCCTCCGCTCCTCTGCTCTTTCCCCGACCCTGACTACACTGTCCTCCCCTTGTCCCCTCCTCCTGTCAAAGATCACACCTTGATGACCCCCCACCACTGTGGATGTCCTTAAGGCTCTGTCCTGGGCCTTCTCTTCTACCCCTATTGGGTGATTTCATCACCAATTCCCAATTGAATCCCATAGATTAAATGACATCTCTATGCAGATGAATCTCACATCTAAACATCCAAGACTAACCTCTCTCCTGACCTCCAGTCCCACCCCCACCAACTCCCTCTTGGACATGTGGAACTGGACGTCCTGTAGACATTTCAAGCTCAACATGTATAAAGCAGAACTCAGCATGTTGTCCCTCAAATTCTTCCCTCTCCCATTACTGTCCCAGTCCCCCAAGCTCACAACCTATGGGCCACCTTCACGTTCTAACACTGCTCCACATATCCAGTCTGTGGCCAAGCTTTGGCATTTCTCCCTGCACAGCCCCCTTTCTCTGAGTCCCTTTCTCTCCACTCCCATTGGCCACTTCCTTGGTGCAGACCCTCATCACCTGGAGCCTGGGGGAGGTGGGAGTCTGCCTGTCTCCAGTCTACCCTCCATTTATCCCCCAAAGTGATTTCCCCATGTCACCCCCTGTTCAGTGAGCATCAGTGGCTCCCTATGTCTCCCAGGATCACTCAAATGAAAAATCTTCTGTGTGGCAAAGAACCTCATAACCTGGCCCCTCCTACCTGTCCAGTCTTCCTGCCTGTCACTTTCCTCCATGCTCTCTATGGCCCCACACAGCACACTCCACCTCCCCCTTCTGGAGCTTTGAAGCTCTCTGTCCTCATGTTCTCAGAAGCTTTGGGCCAGGAATTGTTTGGATTGTACAGAGCCCAAGTGAGATGGAAAACACCTAGTTAGCAATCCCATAAACTGCTTCATATTCCAGTGGTTTTAAGCAGCCCTGTCCTGGCCAGGAGAGCACTGCCATTCACAGTGTGTGTGTTCTGTTCTTAGAAGAATCTTTTGTATCTAGGAGGAAATAAATATCTATCCCATACATTTTTCATATTGTACTCTATTGAGAACCTTCCTGCTTCCCCTTTCTTGGGGAAAACCTTAGATAGAAACCACAATCTTAGTTATAACTAAGGGTTGAAGAAGATGAGGAGTTGGGAGCCAGAACCCACCTGGTCTCAGACCACATGGCTGAATGCAGAGCACAGGGGTCCCTGGGTAGAAAGGAAGTGGGCGCAGTGCCCTTGCCCCCAGGCCCAGCAGCAACACCTCCATGTTAGAGATAAGGAGAAGCTTGGGAATCAAATGCTGTTGAGAACAGGGGCTGGGTCACTGACACCCATTCCTAGCTTGGGGAGTCCAGGGCAGGAGGGAATGGACAAGGAAGAAGGTGAGGCATCATCTGGGGAAAATTGGGTTTCAGGGAGTGGGAAGTAGAAGAAGCTTGAGAATCAGTCAATCAGTAGGCATTGATTAAGCCCCTACTGTGTGCCAGGAAGTGAGCTAACCTCTGGGGACAGGAAGAAAGGCAAAGGCAGTCCCTGTTCTCAGAGCCCTGCCAGGCTACTGAGGAAGACAACTGGCAACCTGCTAAGTACAAACAAGATGTGGGCAGGATAAACCTCCTGATGAAGGGAGTTTGTAGAAGTTATCTGGGAAAGGATGTGCTTCTCTTTGGAGGAAGCGCTACCTTGGCTCAGGACAAGAAGAGGGGCTGGCTGGAAGGATGAACAGACAGAGAGTGGGAGAGAGAGAAGACACAGAGGGAGGGAAAAAAGAAAGAAAGAAAGAAAGAAAGAAAGAAAGAAAGAAAGAAAGAAAGAAAGAAAGAAAGAAAGAAAGAAAGAAAAAAGAAAGAAAGAAAGAAAGAAAGAAAAAAGAGGAGAAAAGGAAGAAGAAAAAGAAAGAAAAAGAAAAGAAGAAAGAAAGAAGGAAGGAGGGAAGAAAGAAGAGAGATGGAGAGGAAGCTACACTGACCACTGTGCCATTCTAATGACCGAACTTGGCCCCAGAGAATCCTGAAGGGGTAGAGCCCAAGTGCAGCATGAAGAAGGAGAGCCCAGATTCTGGAATGGAACTCCACAAACATCCAGAAAATACAGCAGACCAAATCCTGATTAGGAAATCCAAGAACTCCCAGTGAGTCATTTTTTCCAGTCCAGGTCAGTGTAGGGACACAGAGGGAGATCTGTCAGTGCTGGGGCTGGAGGGCACATTCCAGTGCATTTAGGGTTAAGGAAGCTGTGCCCAAGAACAAGAAGAGGTTCTAGGCCCTTATGGGGGTGTCCTGAGCCCAAGCAGGGCCAACAGGCACTTTATCGCTGGCTAGCTCCCTCCCTTCCTCACCAGGTTCAGGTCATAGAGGCAGGAGGAGCTGATGGGGGAGGGAGCTGATGGGGAAGGGAGCAGTCAAGGGCCCTGGGCTTTGTTCCAAGTGAGTAATTAAGTTCAGAAGCAGCAGCATCTGGGTGTGGCTCAGACCCCTGGTGCAGGGCAGGGTCTCAGGTCCAGCCCCCAGCCTCCACCCCTTGTTTCTGCAGAGGAAAAACCAGGGCAGGAATCCTGGAACCAAGGGGAGTCCGCATTTCTTTCACTCAGAACCAACAGAGCTTCAAAGTGGGCTGAGAGAGGGGTGAGTCCAGCAACATCTGCTGCCTCCAGCCAAGGACAAGGAGCAGGACTGTTGGCCAGACCCAAACCCAGGTCAGGAACTGGAGGAGTTCAGACCAAGACCACCAGGATCAGACCTTGCCCCAGATCAGACACTTGGGGCACACTGAGGCCTTACAGGTTCCCAGGCTGAGCTGTGATCCAGAACAGTCAGTTAATTAGCAAGCATTTATTAAGCACCTACTTCATACCAGGCACTGCTTAAGCACTGGGAATACAAAGGGAAAACAAAAGAGCATCCCTCCCTTCAAGGAGCTGACAATCTTATGGGGGAGACAGCAAGCAAACAGATATATACAAACAAGCTACAGGAAGATAAAGAGGAAATGATTAACAGCTAGGAGGCACAGTGACCCACAGGAGTGTCTACTCCCAAAGCACAGGGAAGACCTTTCTGGGTGGAATGAGTGGATGACAACAATTTGCAATTTCTTCCAGTGGCTGTGAAGGTGCCTGATGCAGGTGCTTGAGACACCAAAGTCATCCACCCCATCCCGGACCATCACCAGTCATCTTGATTTTTGTCCTGCCACTGGACCTGGACGACTCTGGGAGAGAGAGTGAGGCACTCCAAAGTCCAGACATCACTCCAGTCCTCTTCAGGAATAAAGGACAAACAACAGGAGGAGAAGTGGAGAGAGAGACAGGACTAGAGTCAGAAAGACTCCTCTACCTGAGTTCCAATCTGGCCTCAGACACTTCCTAGCTGGGAGACCCTGGGCAAGTTGCTTCACCCTGCTTGCCTCAGTTTCCTCATCTGGAAAGTGAGCTGGACAAGGAAATAGCAAACCACTCCAGTATCTTTGCCAAGAAAACACCAGGTGGGGTCCTGAAGAGTCAGACAGACTGGAGGGCCCTAGAATGAAGAGGGCTTGGAGAGGGCTTCCTGGGGAAGGTGGGACTTTAGCTGGGACTTGAAGAAAGCTGGGTAGGTCAGTGATCAGGGCAGAGAAGGGGGTCATATTAGAGAGACCCTACACAGTCAAATCGACAAGTCTTGGCACCATACTGGATATGGGAGAGGGTGAGAGATAGTGAAGAGTACAGGATGACTCCTACGTTGTGAGCCCAGAAGATTGAGAGGATGGTGATGCCCTCAGCAGGAACAAGGAGGTTGGAAATGAAGGGCTGTGGGGGGAAATAATGAGTTCAGTTTTGGACATGTTGAGTTAAAGCTGTCTATGAGACATCCAATCTCAATTGGAGATGTGGGACTGGAGGTCGATAGAGAGGTTAGAGCAGAATAAGTACATTTTAAGATTTTCGAGTATGATAATTAAATCATTGAGAGCTGATGGATTCATCAAATGACTTGGTGTGGAAAGGGAAGGGAAGGGGAGGGAAGGGAAGGGGAGGGAAGGGAAGGGGAGGGAGGGGAGGGGAGGGGAGGGGAGGGAGGAAGGGGAGGGGAGGGGAGGGAAGGGGAGGGAGGGGAGGGGAGGGGAGGGGAGGGGAGGGAAGGGGAGGGGGGGAGGGGGGAGGGAGGGAGGAAGGGAGGGGAGGGAGGGAAGGGGAGGGTAGGGGAGGGGAGGGAAGGGAGGGAAGGGGAGGGAGGGGAGGGAAGGGAAGGGGAGGGGAGGGAGGGAAGGAAGGGAAGGGGAGGGAAGGGAAGGGAAGGGAGGAAGGGGAGGGAAGGAAGGGAAGGGAGGGAAGGGAAGGAAGGGGAGGGGAGAGGGAGGGGGAGGGAGGGGAGAGGGGAGGAGAGGGAGGGGAGAGGGGAGGGGAGAGGGGAGGGAGGGGAGAGGGGAGGGGAGAAGAAGAGAAGAGAAGAGAAGAGAAGAGAAGAGAAGAGAAGAGAGAAGAGAAGAGAAGAGAAGAGAAGAGAGAGAAGAGAAGAGAAGAGAGAAGAGAAGAGAAGAGAAGAGAGGAAAAGAGAAGAAGAGGACAGAAGTATTCTGTGGGACACCAATGGTTAGAGTTCGATCAAGATGAGGATTCAGCAGAAAAGACTGAGGAATGAACAGTCAGAGAGCGAGGAGGAAAACCAGGAGGGAAGCTATAGAGAGGTCAAGGAGAAGGATGACTCAGAACCAGTCACTGGATTTGACAGCTATGTTGAGGGGCAGCTAAGTGGTGCAGTGGATAGAGCACTGACCCTGGAGTCAGGATGACCTGAATTCAAATGTGGCC